TCAATACAAATACCGTTTTTTTTTTAACATCTATAATCCAAGATCCCATGAACTAACGATATCTCCCTCCGCAAAATTTTAAAACGAGTTCTTAACTGATTTGATAGCTCAGAAATTAAGTTAAAAATAAACAATTTCTATCCTGTATACAAAATGTTAGTGGCAAACTAGTGTTGCTGCTCAGTTCTATAAGTACCTACATAAGTATGTATGTAGAAATTAATGTGTCATTCAAGAATAACAGATGTAAAATTTGCAACAGGTAACATCACAAATGAAGCTTTCTCCTCATTCTGGTCCGGATTTATATTTGAATTTGAACTTTCAATTCGGTATCATTCTTTTTATTTTATCGGAATCAAAATATCAAGTGATAAGTTCTGGCAACGTTTTTTATGTGACATGAAGTTTGAAGTATACAAGTGCCGTTTCAGACAGGGATGCAAAAGAGTCTGATCTTTTTCAAATTTTCTTTTGGTGTCGCTCTGGGCATTCACACGGTCAAAAAGAGTCCAGCAACTCGAGTCTAGTTTTTCTGCATTCCTTTTCACAAAATGTTCGTAAATATTTGTGCGGTTCGACTGCGCAACACCGCGCAACACTGCGTGCTGCGTATTTCATTTGTATGTTGAGATGATGGTCACACATTTTGCTTGCAATGAATTACCATGAATATGGTAGAACAATATGCATAATACAAGTACCTACCCGCTAAATAGTTTCAAAAAATACTAAAGACGGGAATTCCCTAATCCACAAGAATGTATTGAATATCCGCTACTAATATTTTCAAGGCCAAATTTATAATAGGAATTTCCTAATCTTTAAGTATTAAAAACTCATAATTTCTTTACTCCGTATTAAAAATTCATAATTTCTTTACTCCATAATCTATATCTTAATTTTCTCCTTATTTACAATTTGTCATAATATTTCTTTTATTCTATGCATACATATTTGCATATACATACAAAAATAGATAACAGAACTCAAATTTGCGATCGAATTCATTTGAAACCGAGCGCTCTTGCAACCATTCAAAGATTTTGAAAGTGAAAAGGAATGCTGAGTTGCGTATCAGCGAGCTGTTACGAACAAGAACACAAAGCGTGCCACCCGAACACGAGTGGCACGGTCCCTTCGTCTTTCCTCGTCGTCCCCTCGCCCACAATAAACTGGTTTGAGACTCTTTTGCGTCCCAATGTGAAACGGCTCCAACTGGCGCTTTACTACCCTACATGGTTCACACTACGTAACTATGTACATAAGTGTATGTCTGTAGGTAGCGTATACAATGCTTAAATGCCCTTAACATATTGGAAAAGTTGCTATCTACCTGAGCTACGGAGAGAAACGTTTAAAATATCGTGATTCATCCCCTTTATTGACTCAGTTTTTGTTTATGCCTTATACTTTTCATACGGTTCATAGTATGTTTGACATAAGTAGCTGAGTCATTTGTATGTGAAATTACTCTGGCTTCTCTTCAGTTGTCGAATAAATCTTTCGCCTTTTACTAAAGATTTCCGTGGAGAGGAGCACTCTAATGAGTCTATAAGAATTTTTGAAGGGTTTGCGACTATTTGTTGTGAACCGATGGTTAATACATACATTAGACTTTATATGTATATGTACGTAACCACAGGTTCCGTAGAAAAAGGCATTACGTGAAAAAAGACCTTGTGATTAGTTTAATAGGCTGAGTGATAAGCGGTAGAAACAGTAAAATTTACAAATGAGTCGAAGGTTTTGTCGATAGCCCAAAAACAACAATTTGTCAAAAGTTGAATTTGCACTTATAAAAGATACTTTTTTTATAAGTGCAAATTCTGTTAATAAACTAGCTTTGGTGATTTATAAAAGAACAATTTAATTTTTATTTTTAGTATTTTGAAATTGTGGATTCTTTCTTGTCCTTAAAAAAAATTTGAAGGTTTCCGTGTTAAAAATTGTGTTATATCATTGCAATTTAATATAGAGTTTCTTTGCTTTTATGGTATTTAATTGTTTTATATTAAAAAATGTTCTTCATGTAAAAAATAGTCGTTTTTGCAACATTAGAAATATCAAGTTTTATACTCATTTCCACTTTTCGTGCTAAAAACTAAAAAAAAATTAAATCAAAATAATATTATATATAAACAAAATCCTCTCTGGTGTTAAATGTCAGGTCCTTATTACTTGCTTAAAAAAAAAGGAATATAATATGAATATTATATTAAAAAGATTTACCACATATTAGCTTACTTACTAGTGTGTATGTGTGTGTGCCGTCATAAAAATCCTTTCTGACTTATAGGAAGAAGATCTTGGCGCCACTTCAAGGGTTTTCCATAAGCTCCGATTTATTGACCTCATAACCGGCGGCATGTTGAATTTGTTAAATACTGGCTGCTTTCACGACTTCAAAAGTCCTCTAGGCACACCTCTTGCACACGTTTCGTAGGTTGTTTTTTCATATTCCCATAATATATTTGTGCGTACTGTTATTGTTTATTATTAGCGGATTTTTATAGTTAAGGTTAGGATGCGCTATTTTATAAAAATTTACATATTAACAACTATTTTACACAGTTTTTATAAACTTAAAGTCAGCGTTGCGTTAATAGGTTCATTCGTTATGAATGCATCAATTCACTAAGTATAAAATATTAAAAATACGTTGGATGTTTGTGTTATGATACATATAACTAGGAAATACTACATAATATAAGTTACATTAATCACTTCCACTTCATGAAGTTATAAATACATACATACATATGTAAGAATATTTAAATTTTGCTATTAGTACAAATTACTATTTTAATTAAGTTTTTTAAGCACACTTCGATTATAAAAATTTAAGTCGAAGCATTTTCTAACGTTTCTTTTCATATTTTTCATACATACAGCATGCGTACAGCAAGTACATGATGCACTCATTGCTTTCTGGCAATGTAACACATTGCCTTGCCTTTCAAGCATCAAAACAGAGTACGTACTGTATGCTTTATTGAGAGAATCGAACAAGTGATGTTTGTTTGTGTCTTTTGCCTTCGTTGCTATTTAAGTTCACCACTTACATTGCTGTAAATGATATCAAACAATGTTAATACAATAGGTCCCTATATTCTTCGGTGATATCAACTGCATTTGTGCAGCAGTCTTATGTACATATGTATATGTATATAAAAATATTTAGTGTTTGTTAGTCTCGCTAAAACTCGAGAACGGCTGAACCGATTTGGCTAATTTTAGTAGTGGAATATTCGTGACCAGTTAAGGTTTATACCAAGAATGATAGAATACAAGATTATGACAAGAATTTAACGTTATCTTTTTCGGTTCAATCTGCGACATTTGTTACAAAAACAAAGTGCAATATGACGCCATCTTATGGGGTAATTCGTTTGACTTGAGAAGAAGTAGCATAGAACAGCATGTAAATCGTAAACCAAAAAGTAAACACCTTTCTTAATTCGTGAAATAAATTTAATATATTCGTTTTTATTATTTATTAATATATAAATACATATATTGGTGTATAATAAAAAAAAAAATACTGCTGGAATACATCGTAATTATAACCCTTTTAATAATTCACTTAATTGGCAATTATGTTGTTAGATAAAAGTATTAATTAACAAGTAAGGAAGTTATAAGTTCGGGTGTAACCGAACATTTTATACTCTCGCAACGTGCAAGGATCAAAGCCCGGGAAGTTACTTCAGGTGTTGACAAAATTTTATATTAAAGGATTCCTATTCAATCCATTTTTGACACAAAGACATACTATTATCGAGAGTATCATTTATATATTTTATTATATGAATTTATATTATATATATAACACATTGACCGATATTTTCGGTAAAAAGTCAACTATATTCACTGCGGTCCACATATTCAGTACGGTTCAGCGGTTCCACGCCCACTGTCTAATTTTGAACGCGGTTCCTATTAAGTCATCTCATACCATCCCAGAGATAAAATTTAATGTCTCTGACGTGTTTAGTGCTTCATTTATCGCGCTTTTAGTAGGAGGGCGGGGTTGTCACCTGGTCTCACCCAGTTTCACACTGTCCATAGAAGTGCTAAAAACGCTTGCTCTCAGTGAATTCTTTTATCGTAGGGGGCGAAACCACGCCTACTTAAAAAAAATTAAGCTGCAGATGCCTCACCCTAATGTGATCCTGTATACGAAATGACAGTCTTGCATCTTATTGTGGAGCTCTATCATTCTATCATTCTTGGTTTAAACGGTGACAAAATACGAAAAAATTGCCCCATAGGTTCGGTATTTTTGAAAACATCTTCTATAAATATAAAAATCAATTGTTAAAACTCGAGAAAGGTTCAATCGATATAGCTGATTTTGTGTTTGAAATGTTTATCGTAGTCCAAGTTTAAAAAGTAAAAACATTTTATTTGAGATGGCAACATAAATCCCAAAAAAAAATATATATATATTTTGAAGGTTGTTATTACTGTTAAGACATTTTTGTCATTGTATTCTAATATGAAAAATGAGTTTTTCAAAGATTTCAACCCAGTAATATGTGTTATTTGACTGAAAACTGAATACGAATAGATAGTAAATCAAACAAAAAAAGGGGTTCAATCAAATCCCGAAAACTACCTTACGAAATTTATAAATATCCCCTTATGATCACTGAAGAGTCTTCACCGAGTCCGAAAGTTTTAAATTTGACTATTATTCGCATGATAATGTAGAAACGCACATGATTGGATTCCAAAATTGCAAGTTCACAAGTTTCTTTTTTACTAACTTTGATTTCGCAACTCAACATCCTTTAAATATACTTAGAAATGATACCCTAACCAAACCTACTTCTCTACCATATGAAATATATGTATGTATATGTTATAGTATGTAACGCTTTGTATGTTTTCAATATTGACGAGTTAAATGTAGTTGATTCCGAACATTCTATTCATTTTATCTTCCTTATACACAATTCACTTATTATATTTCTTTCAATATTTTTTCTCTCTAGTTTATTTAATACTGGGTCATTATTACGAGCATGTCGGTCTGATGGTCAGTTTAGAGCGCAAAGGCTTATTAGCTAAAGGTGAATACTTTGTTGTTGGCATCGACATCGAGCAATATGATCCATCTAATCCGGATAAGTACCTGCGCGGTTTGCTCTTGGAGAAAATCGACTTAAGCGCCGAAGTGGCTTTCCAATCGTACGTGGGGATTTTTCCAACAGCGACCGTCTCATTCGCTAAGTTTGCCAAGGAGGTGAGAGTCGAATGTTTGTATATATGTACATATGTATGTAGAATCATATTAAATAGCATTAACACAAAAAATAAATATTCATCCTCTCAATGGCTTATTGCCAAATGAGCGTTTGTGATTCACTGTCGTTCGTTATCAGTTTAATCCAAACCTTAACTTTTATTTTAATTACTGTAATATTTTACACGAGTACATATCTATTACCCTATATGTAAATATCAGCTTTTGCACTCGTCATCAATGGATTACAAGGTTTTGCTTTCTGTCAAACATGTTGACAAATATTCCATGTAGTCTGTAAATTTATTTGTATGATTGTATGATTGTAAGCCAAGTTCATATGTGTTGAATGAAAAAATGCATTTCATGTAAAATCAACAGAAATATATTCGCACAATCGAAATATTGATTTAAATAAAGCTCATCTAAAATGTAAAGATCAGATTATATATATATGCTATGTGCAGCCATAAACTTTTTTATTTGACGACATATCTACTATCTATCGACGTCTAGGACAATGATGTAATCTCCGAAGAAATTGTTCAGATCGGATCACTATAGCATATAGCTGCCATACATACTGAACGATCGGAATAAAGTGCTTGTGTGGAAAACTTTTTAATTTGACTAGATATCTTTACCAACTTTAGCATGTTTACATGGTAATAAGTGCCCAAAACATCGGTGCAATCTCCAAAGAAATTATTCAGATCAACTTACTATAGCAAAGCTACCATACAAACTGACCGGTCAATCTCAAGTTCTTATAAGGAATCGTTTGTATTTGTGAAGGGTATTTGGTGCAACCGAAGTTAACGTTTTTTCTTGTTTTCTATGATTTTAGTTTTATAGACTTACACTTATCTTATCAGAATTTGGATCCTATGCGCCAGAACATAATAACCAGATAAAGACATAACCGTAAATAACCTACCCGATTTTGAATGTGGATTGAAGGTTTAAAGTCTCGCAACTGATAAATAGGAACGACCAACTTGAAATCCCAAAACAGTATTGTAATAGAGTAATTTTTAACGGTAGTCTTTACTAGGATAACTCATCCATGTACCAAGACTAGAAATAATCTTAGCGATTCTGAAGCGACACTTTCTTACAACCACCTGATTTATATGCGTCATATCTATGTTGCTTTGTTTATGTCCACTCTACACGGATTGAAATCAGTCGCTGCAAAATTAATACCAATCATTGGTCTATAAAATCAGAGAGAAACTTATGATGGTTTAAAGAAAATAGCTATAGATCCTAGTAGCAAGGTCTAGATTATATTTATAATTCCCCTCCAGCTATAAAAATAAGAGAATGGAACATCTAATCTACTTGTACTTCCAAAAGATAATCGTGGAAATTGTGATGCTCTCTCGTTATGAAGGCCAAAATCATTTTATAGTGTAATAAACGTTTCTAATATATATAAATCGCGATTTTTTGTAATAAGCAGTTTTATATAATTATTTATATCAGGTATTATTCGGAACTATGTGAGTATTATAGACTATGATAATAATAGTGGTAATCACGCCACCCTACAATTGAAGATTGAATAAGGCGAATTTTAATTTGCACAAATTAGTCACAAGAATGTCTAAACTACTACTTATAAGCAACTACACTTATAACTAGCTAAAAATTTAATTATTTAATTATATCTTATTAGTTTAATTATATAATATATTATACTAATTGAATAATGTATTTATGCTTCTATAGTGTATTTCAGGCCCTTAATTATGAAGTTTGGAAATATTAAAGTTTTTATGATATTTATTTGTATTCGCATAAGTGTTCAACACTCTCAGTCACATTATTTCGCTTTCTACTTAAAGTCTAAAATCTGTTTAATTAAATTCTGCTAAAATGTCTAAAATCGATTTATTGACTGCGTTGTATGGAGATTATGACATGAAAAAATCACCGAAATTAAAGTGCTAACTGTAGTAAAAACTAACTTCGGTGATTTGTACATACCATATATACAAATACAAGTATACAATATATATCGAGTCCCAAAATACCTTTTAATCCAAGTGATAATTATTGAGTGCGAAAATGGGATGGGCTGATGCCAGTAGTGGCAATTACACCCGTTGACAACTTATTAGAACTCTTGAGAAAGAAATGTTTATTAACTTTTAAAATTAGCACAATTTTAGTGCTCCCGTGAGTTAGTTTGTTCAATAATAGATTCCTTTGCTAAATGAAAACTCGCAGAAAGCTAATATTGTGGAAAGTACGTACAGCCATTTGTATTAGCTGGATCAAAGTGGTGGCTGTCGCAAATATGTGAACATTAAGCGTTTCTTTTAGAGAATTTTATGTGTACTTTTAACCTAAATGGTCAGCCTTATAGCAAAGAGAAAGGCAAAATTATACATTTTCGGCCGCACCTATCCTAAATACAAATTTTTACTTTTACTGTGGGTGTTTCTAAAATAAATTGCTTACCATCTCAAATTTATATCTTTCAATTACTTATTTTCCATTCGTTTTTCAAAGCAATTGGGATTCACCCATTAAGTTTCAACACTTTTTTTAGCTCTTGTGGTGTTTTGTTTCTGAGAGCAACATAAACCTAATTTTAGTTCTCGTAAAAATAACGGTATTATCCTATGTGTTCCAAGCACAGAAAATATATAAGATATAAGTTTATTTCTTGTTTGATGAAGGAAACATCTACGTAAACAATGTTCTGTTTCCAATTAGTTGCCAACTAGTGTATTTGTGTGTACCGAGTAGTGAAGGGTGTGTCAAGTGTGTAGACGTGCGTGAAATATTTAATGCTCAAAGTAATCTCCATGAACAAATCGGTTTGTCCATTAACACATTTTTGTCTCCATCTCTTTCTTTTTTGGCCTTAGGTGAACAAATATATGGAATTGCCACCTTTCAATTTTCCCAATCCTTTAGGCTATTTTGGCGGCGCAAAGCAAGTGAGTAAATAAGCTATTTAATTACTATTCCTCGTAGTGATTTAACGGTTGTTAAAGCATAAAATTCAAGAGCGAAATCACTAAATTCCTACGCAAAAAAAATCTAGGAATTTGTAACATTTCGCCATTTCATTTTGCTTTTATTCAATACTCTGTTTCATTATAATATATTTGCTAAATGTTTCTTTTGCTTTAGATTAGCGCCGAGGCTGCGTATCTCTATGACGCCGTTCATTTGTATGCAAATGCGCTAATAAAAGTTTTGAAAGCAGGTGGCAAGCCGAAAAATGGCACCGCACTCATTGCGGCCATAAAAGGTTCCAAATACCTGAGCGCCATGGGGTGAGTTGAAAACAAAATATTAATTTTTTTTATTGTATTTACATAAGGTAACTGTTTGGTATACATTGACGTTTAAAATAATAGCATTAGGATTATGTAGCTTCGAATGTTATATAAATATATAAAGTTTCTTTATCGGTATATATAACTTTGGAATAAATATGTTAGCAAAAAAAAAAAAATAAGAAAAATCTAAGAACTTTAATTAAAATGGAATAAAATCACAATTGCTTATATAATAGTTTAAGGCATCCCCTACTTCAAATGTAACTTATTATTATTAATATTTTCCGAAACAATTCAAGTGAATGGAAAAAAATTACTGAATTTTAGTTTTTATATTTTCACTGCTATTATTTTTAACTTAAAGGTACATGCTCGAACTACTGTAGTTATGCATATATTTGTATTCATATAAATTTGTTAGTGTTTGTACAAATTTATGCGATTACATAGAACGAAATGAATGTTTTAACTTTTGTTTGTGAAGTGTAAAATATTTTCATGTCGTCATCGTCAAACCCAAATGACAAGAACACTTTGGTACAGAAAACTAAATCCCCTTTCATAGAATTCACCTTTTAATTACATTCGGGTAATAGTTTTTGCATTTAATAACTGTTTATTTTTTTTATGCAGCTATCATGTCTATATCGATGAGAATGGTGATGCCGCTGGCAATTATACAGTATTAGCGCGTGGCTATGCGCGCAATAGTAGAAATATGACAGTTCCTGGCCTGGTGCCGGTGGGGACATTTAGTCAGACACAAAGTGATAAATTACCTGTGAGTATCTAGTATGAAGAATTTTTAAATTTTGATTACGAATAAGATGTACAGTTAAAAAAATTTAAATGAAAAAAAAATATGTGTACTTAAATATCTATTTATTTAAAACATACTTAGATGCTTTATATATATGGATGCATTAAAATAAGTTTTTGGAATCAATTATTTATTTTAAAATAATTATTTTAATTATATAATTTTCTTCATGTTTAATTATATATATATTTATAAAAAAAAATTATAGTATACAGTACATATGTATATTGATAATATATAATTTATACCATACTATAGCTAGTTTTTGCTATAACATTTTTTTTAATCAATTATTGGAAAGGCCTTTTTGTCAATTTCTGAACCAAAATTCAGTTTTATCATAGAAATAATTGCGTCCAAAAATTTTAATATATGCTCTATTTATTACTTACATTCGGAAAATAGTAAAAAATTTAAAGTTTAAGGTCAAAGTCTCCAATTTAAACCAAGTGAAGCAGGCGAAACTCTTAGATAGTATTCCAAAGTGCTGGTATAAAACTTTGGCTTTCAGATGGAAATAAATAAATGCTTTGAAAGTTTTTTGTAACCTAAATTTTCAACAATTCATTCTAATGGGTTATAAGTGAAACCAGTAAATATTAAAATATAATAGAAAGGGTTTTAAGATTAATACTAAACAAGTCAAGATATTGATTCGTGAAATACTAATTGTTGTGATAGGGGATCCAGTATAAACAGTACCTATACCTGTACTATTGTATTTCCACATACTATTCTTTCTTCTGCAATATATCTTCGTGAGTAAATATTCGACTCCAGTATTAATTGAATACCATGTTTTCGTCGGAATAAATAATAATAATGCGTTTGACCCTTGGCGATCTTGTCTCTGATGTCAGACACAAATAGTTTCAGTGATATTTTTGCTCTTAGACAAGCTTCGGAGTCACATACGTAGAATTCGAGTAATATTTTGTAAACTTGCGCTTCGCAAGGTGTAGGGTTGTAGGGGTAAAAAAATTTCAACAAAAAATTACCTAAACAAAGAAACTATGAAATTGAGCTCAGCGATGACACTTGTATTGACCTTTAAACACTGATTTTCAAATAGAAAGTGCCAATGGTTTTTCCGAAAATATTGTATATGGAATATTTATTTGTGTTGTGTACTTTCAGTGCAATATAATGCGATTTCCTTCAGTGCCTTGTAAGCGAATTTTTGATTTTCCGGGTTTGGCTTATTTTGAGAACTGCCAGCGCCCCAATGTCTCTTAAGTTAGAGCATAGGGAGCCGTGAAATATATCCCGTCTCATCTGACTGTAGGCTGGGCATCCTACGAATTTTTTTTCCAATTTTCTTAAGAGTAGGTGCCATGTGATGACCCTTACAGTATTACTTACTTCCCTTTTGCCCCGTATGCCCCGTGTTCCTAGTACTCCAAGACCTGAGGTGCTCCTCTAAAGACCATTGATTCAAACAACCCTTGAAGGAGCTGAATGGTCTAGGGTAGTTTAGGGGATTTCTGTTTCTGCCTTATCATTTTCTTCTATTCCTAAATAACCGTGAACCAGGTTAGACCAGAAGCCCATTTGGCACCTTCTGTTGTGCCCACAATAGAACGAGACTTAGATGACATTTTTATTGAAGAGATCGAAATAGAAAGAATATATGTGCTAGTACGAAAGACCTCGTTGGACTTATTTCTCTATACTATATATTAAGTTTTTTTAATATTATTTATATTTTATGTTATTTCTTGTTCTTTTTAAATTTTTATGGTACATTTTTTTGTTAATATGCTCATATACTTTGTGCTAAAAAGACAAAAGAGCTTAAGTCAAGTTTAAATTTCAACTGATTAGGATTTATCGATTAACATAACCTCATTCTATGACAAAAAAAATTGGTTTTATGCACCAAAAACTCAAAACGGATTTTTGAAAAATTCTTAATTTCAACTTAAGCCTTATTTCTTGTTAACACAAACGTAAAAACTTCTAGCGCTAAATATACACGCCAACTAAATAATAACATACTCGAAACTAATATTTTTTATGTCAAAATATTTATATACTAACAATTTGCGCACTTGTTGCACAAAACCCTGTACATTTTTCATATCGTACTGAAATCTCTGCCCACTGTATTTTGTAATTTGCTAATAACTAATTTTATATAATTTCTCATTAAACAAATGCTTTGAATAACAAAAAAAATGTATAATTCCAAAAGAGTTTTCTACAGGTGAGTGCTCGCTCTCCTCACTTCAATTCTGTTACTTTCCGAACTCATTAATTGCTTTTTACCACGCTGCCTCCTAACTTAATTTTACCTCCAATTTAATTGAAAAAATATTTTTTAACATTTATTAAAATATAAATAAATTAACGCACTTTAATTGCCATTTAATTATTAAAAATCACAATCAACAAACAGGATCTCAATTTATACGGTAAAATCCATTGGGTGAACGCGAACGGGCGGCCGGCGGCGGAGCCGAAATGTGGTTTTGCGGGCGAGAAATGCATCAGTGAGTAATCGTGGCCGAGCGGTGGCGTCGGTCAACATGTCGCATGGCGTGCGCCCATTTCATGTTGCTCCATTAAATTGATTTCGTTTATTATTTACAGGTTATACCGGTGAGATATCGGCGAGCATTGCCGGTGGCGCGCTGGTGCTGCTCGGGATTGTCTCGTTGGTGTTGTATCGCAATTGGCGCTACGAGCAGGAGTTGGATAGTTTGTTGTGGAAAATTGATTTTCGCGAAGTTCAAATGCACGAAAGCGAGAAGGAGCAATCTAGTCAAAAGCAAACAAGGGTGAGTGCAAACTCTTTTTTATTTATGTGAATATGGACTTGTGAAACAGATCAAAATTTAAATGAATGGAATAAAAGAGTTTTAGGAGAAGTATATATGCATACATTGTATGTACATATATCTCTCTATTATATATAAAAGTTTTCTGCTGCTGTTGAGAATCAACTAACATAAGAGCGAGCTAGCTCGCGCTCGGCGGGGGGCGGACGTAGGCGAGCGAGCGAAGCGAGCGTCCCGGAGCGCAGCGGAGGGCGCCTAGTAATACTATATACAAATGTAGAAATAACCTTAGCTTAACGCTTTTAAATATTAGGACCATCTAAATCATAGACTTTATCGAGGTCCTTAAAATATTGGTTGGTAAAGATCTTGTTATTCGATACCGACAACTCGTCTTTTTGAAAGAGAAAATAGCAGCATGTTTATTGGACCAGTTATAGTTTTTTTAAATAAGATGGCCTGTTGTGTCAACGTTTCTGGCCAAGTCTAGGAAATACCAATACTCATCAAGTGGATAACTCTTTCTTCTACACACATATACTAATGTAAAAGGTGCTCAGTTCGCTTGTTTGAAATGTTTTAGTTACTTTTCCTTTATTCATTAGTCTATCATTTAAAAGACATATTTAAGATAAATAACTTTAGCTAACAAAATCATTCAGTACATTAAGCCGCACTACCTAAGTTATTTCTCTCAAGTACACGGTATCCTTTGGATCGATATAAAATGCAGATTTTCTTCGAGATTTATTCCGTTATACACAATTTTAGTAAAAAGTCAGTATGGATAGTTTTTTAAGTTCTATTTTCCGGATATAGTGAGATGGTCGTTATTATATCCGTGAATCTCGGAGACCACTCGCCGGGTTTCTCGAGAAAGTCATGTACCGGAAGGAAATAAGAGCAATTATTCACTTTAACCTCCAAAGATGATCAAATTTATGTCCGATGAGATTCTCTTTTCATTTGTAGTGTGTCAAAGTTCGAAAATTGGAAAGATCAAAAAGTTTTCAGCTATGTAAGTGAATCTTTTAAGAAACTTTTTCATTTTACATAGACGATATTTAAGAATCACAAATAGTTTGAAGTTAACCTGCCCACAAAATAGCGAATGTCGTGTGTTTCGGGAGCTTTTTGACATGTATTTGAAAGAGGAATAATTGTCAAAAGAAAAGCACAGGGATAAAAATATCTTAATCCGCTTTGTCCCTTGCTAACAAAAGTACGAATAACATGTTCAGTTTTATTATCTGAAGGGCAGTTAGGGAGTAGTATTTGCTTTTCAGTAAAGCTGAACTCGGGTAGAAATTCGATGTCGCGATGGAATTAATTTAAGCCGCTAAGCGTGTCTGGGTATTGTTAAAGGAACTTACAACAAATTCCCATTTTTACTTTAAGTGACGCATATATGTACACATATTTATAAAAGCAACTTCACATATATTATAGCAACAACAACAACTACAACAAACAATACTGGCGATGACTGCTTAGCGTATATCACAATGAAATGCCAACTTGGGAGCAAACAGACACTCGAATAACAAACGATAAGAGCAATAACCAGTCAGTCCACCCACACAGTTATGTAACCTGACGGCTTCCTGTGTTGATGTCCTGTTGAATAGGGACTAAAGCAACTTGACAACATTTAGCATAATGACGCTCTGCCATTGCTGACAAATGTTTACGTGCTTACTGATTGTTTTTGTTGTTGTCGTTGTTGTGGTGACTGCTGCAACACTTGCGTGTTGCATATAACAAACATCCGACTGCGCTTGACAGTATTTTGCTTACAATGGGTAGTAGTTACAAACTGTGGTTCTTATTTATCTACGCACAAAAATGTTTATATGCATACATATGTATATAAAGGAAGCATTTATATTAAAACAACACAAGCATATTTCTTTACAAATTTAAAACTTTCGTGCCAATCGTTAAATGCTTTAATAAATGGTATTATATTCATTATAGGGTCAGTTTACAGTGATTTTTTTTATTTCGAAATATAAAAACTTTTTCAATATTAAATATTTTAAAATTACAATTTTTTTTCAGTTTATATTAGTTTATCAAATTTTTATATATAAAATATTTGTAAATTCTTCTAATAAAGGTTTTTTTTGTAGTTTCTTCAGTATATAAAACTTATTTAAATATTTAATAATATACTTTTTTTTATTATTTTAGTCTACTCATCCACTTATACGCACCAGCCAAGTAAGCCTAAGCTCAAATCCGGATGCTGATTTCCGTTATACGACAATATTTACGCCTATCGGCCTCTATAAGAATCAACTTTATGCAATTAAGAAAGTACGAAAAAAATCTGTCGATATAACTCGTGAAATGAAGAAGGAATTGAAATTGGTAAGTGCTTTATAAAACATAATTGTGGGTTATTTCATTTTATATATTTATGTATATTTTTAGTAAAATCCCGGAGATTAAGTTCGTATATCTTTCTGCTGTCCTTTACTTCCTTCTTTCCCATGGGAATACCAAAATCTTTGTGAATATTTTCATTTCAAATGTACCATGGCGAACTTATTATCGTTCTGAGAATTTTTGATTGGAACCTCTGTATTATATCTATGTTAGTTACACAGGTCGTACCCTACAATTGTTTACCATATATCCAAATCGGTTTATTACTGCATTGTATAGCAGAACTTTGTTGGCAAGGCTAAGTTTTGAATTTTTTATTTAAAAGCAATTTTAAATTTGCTGCTCTTATTTTCATGCTAATTATTTTGCTGGATGTATGTTTTCTCCATGTGAGCCTTCCTGTTTAGCTAAATACCTAGATAAATTACATAATTTGCTTGTGGTACTAAGGCATTATTAATTTTAATCGGCTGACACATTTTTGGTTTTAGTGAAACAACACTTTTGTTCATTTACATTTATTCCCCAGTTGGCTAGTCATTCTTCGACCAAAGAAGGGACATTTATTACGACATATTAGGGCTGTGTCATCCGCAAATGTCAATGCCAATACTTTACAACTAGTTGAAATTTATTCTGTATATAAGATATATAGAGTACTAGGCCCAACTCTACCACACTCCTGAGGTACACCAGCAGTTCTGCCATATCTGCGGATTTTTCCGCATTATATTTATATTTATTATATGTATTTTATTAAAACGGGTTTTGCCGGATTTTAAAAGCTTCATGATCTATTTTCTTTATTTATATAATATGAATTCGGAAGAAAAAGTATATCGGGTTTTCGTTTCAAAAAGCGAATATAGAAAAAAACACATTCTTTGCTCAGTCAATCAAGATAACTGAACGAATTCGGACTCTGACCTCTCTTATTTTCACTTGCTTCTATTTCTCCTATTTTTCTCGGACTCTCCTGCACTCTTGCAATGGTTCTGCATATTCGGCATTGCTGAATTCGATGTTTGATTAACAGAAATTTCCAATCTGCAAAACTGAAAAGCAATATCTCGAAAATTTGAAAATCAATCAATACTTAAGAAGCTGTAAGTATTCTTATGTTTTCTGCTAAGCATATATTATAGTCGAATGGAAGGCATGTTCAAAAAAGTAACTTCCTGCTATTTAAAAGAAGATTATGTCGACAAAACCGATGGGAAGTTTACAGAATTTGACAAAATGACAAAAGATAATCAATTAAATTGGGAGCCTTTCGAGATGGAGACATTGGCCCAAAAGTAACTGTAGAGTTAAATCAATTCCTAATTCAATGTGATAAATCAAGACAACGATTCCTTCCGTGAAAAATGCAGACAATTTTACATAACTTTGGCTACAAAAATCCACAAGCGGTTCCCATTTGCTGAAAAAGATGTTCAGTTGCTGCATGCCCCTTGCTTTTTTAGTCCAAATAACTTGCCGCAAATACCGATTTTTTCAGATTCGATCTAGAGGAAACTCACAGCGAATTCAGAGCAGTAAAAATATTGTTTGAGAACGGGGCAAACCGTCCTGAATTTCTGGTAGAGTTTCCACTAGTTTCGAAATTAGTGGACAAAATTCGAGTACTTCCACATTCCGCTAATTGCGAGAGAATTTTATCCGAAATCATTTTAAATAAACTAAAAAGCGCAATGATTTGTCAACAGTCTTCACAGTAAAGTTGTGTAAAGAGTATTAACCGGTTTTCGATGTAGACGATGCAAAGTTCCACAAAGCCATATTAAAATAATTGTAACAATTGTAGACCTCATTGGTATATAGCCGTCAGAATCGATATCTAACTAACACTGCTGTTCCACTATGCGCCCTAAATCCCGGTATAAAGAAATTGTTCTCGTTTCTTAGATGAGTTTCTGATGATAGCCTTACATCTATATTTTTTTTATTTAGAAATCTAATGCTCTCCAATTTATGTTAACACCGTTGGTATTCCATATTGTAAACATGAAATGTGTCCCACGTACATTGAGGAAGGTTTAGAATCATACATTCAATGCAAACAACCACCATATAATGTAATATAATTAAAACGAATAATTTATTATATATTCTTTATTCAATACTAAATTAATATAATTTTTTTCATTTACTTTATATGTTTTATATTATGTATTTATTTTATACTAGTATTTTAATTGATTTTTCTTAATTAAATTTTTTAATTTTTACTCATTTCATTTTATTCTATTTTACAATATAATATTTTATTTTATCTTATTTTATCTTATTTCCATTTATTTTATTTCAATATTTTTTATAATTTATTTATTTAATTCATTTTAATATCTTTATTATTTCATTTAATTTTTTAATGATATTATTTTGTTTTCCTGTTTTGTATTTAATATAACATTATTTTATTTTAATTTTATTGTATATTAATTTTTATTTTTTTTTAATTTTACTTAATTTATTTATTATAATTATAATTTGATAAAATGTTTTAGTAGTTATTATTATTTTCCGTTATAAATATTTTTTTCTTCAATTTTCCCATTTATATTTATTTCTATTTGTACTTTCTTATTGTATTTCTGAACTAACACTAATACTCTTTCCATACCTTGACTTTCCGCATTTCTGATTGCAGTTGACATTCAAGTAATGCACATAATATTTCAAATGTTTTTTATTTCTCTCTTTGCTTTTTTGCGTCATTCCAACTTCATTCGTTTGCTGCAACATGCCATCGCTACAACTCAATATTACTATGGGATTTGTGCGCTGCGTTGTCCAATACACTCGTCGCCATCCGCCCTTTTTGTGAAAATTCTGCAACAACAATACACTTCCGTTAACCGTTACGCGTGTATGCGCCCCTACACAGCTTCGCGATACACGTCACGACAATATATGCGCCTTCATTGGTGCCTGTACGGATCCACCAAACATATGCATCATCACAGAGTATTGCACGAGGGGAAGCTTGAAGGTAAGTCCTAAATCATCTCAGCTCAACACTCTTTAAGCGCACGGCAGTTAGTACAAATTGTTCTGGCGTGGAAACTCGCTACCGTGAAAGAGTAAAGTCTCAAGAGAGGATAAAGAGGAGATGAAGTCAAAAGTGAAAAGTATGATAAGCAACTTGAATGCAAATCTGCGTTTTCAATTCATTTTTCGCGTAGAGGTTCAAAATATTTTTTATATGTAGGCCAATGCGTATGCTTGATGGTATGAGTTTATATAAACGATATTTTAAGGAAGAATTATTCTGAGTTGATAAAAGAAAAGATGGGAGGATTGAGGAGGATGATATTTTTCAACAAGAGGGAGTATTTTGCGGGCCACATATCACATTTGAAGAATCGTCCCACAAAATACTTTGAAAACTGAGGCCATTCTGATACTGATATGTGCTCACAACAAAGCAAATACGTTCTAAAACGAGTTAGAAACATCCCCAAGCCTAATTAGTTTCAAGAAAAAAGATCATTACTTGATTACTAGTAATTGAAAAATATCGGAAGGTTCAGTGTTCAATATTTTGATCCCATGAAACAGCCGCTGTAAACTTCTTACGCTGAGCTCCATACTTCTAATAGGGTCGTGGTTTATCTTTTGTATACATAAATGCATAATGAATTCGAACTTAGGAATATCTTAGACAATATCATTTAATATAATATTAATGGGCGATCAATTGTTATGAACTAATTTCGGCCTAGTTGGTTATGACAATGTACACTTCCTGACAACAATAAATTACATATTTTCTCAGAAGACTCGCAACAATTATATTCTAGATTGCCATATCTCCGGAGAACATTGCAAGTAACAAAGGAAAACGGTACAGCTTGGCAAGTAAAACCTAAAATTGGAGTATCCTCCGTCCGATCATGGATAGAGGCTCAAAATATATCCTGAATAGCTTCTTTCCTTTGTTGTCAAAGCTTTCCCAAAGTTTCAAGTATCAATCACAAGTATTTCTTCACTTTCATTGGTATTCGCCAGAAAGGCTGTGTATGCTAAGACTCAGAAGATCCGAACGTTTTCCTTTGAATCGTGATCTTTAACGAATTGGGATAAAAAATCTTAAAGAGCTTTCAGGAGATAAGAAATTAGTTATATTATATATTATATATATATCAGCTTTCATCCAGTGGGAAATTTTTGGCAAAATGTAATTGCGTCGAATAGATTAGAGATTGATTATGGACCGAAACTGTATGGTTCATTGATTCTATTATAATTTTTATTATTTTATAGTTAAACTTCAGTGAGAAGAGGGTAATACCCTTGTTAGATATGTAAAGAAAGCTCTTCCACTCGTTTCGATTGCCCCACAAGTTAATTTAAAGTACACCCTAAGTTTTCACTTTGCCTGGCAAAGGTGGACTTGATTATTACTTATCTTACGAATAAGCTTTATATGGTCATCTTAAATTTCTACTCAACTTTAACTCGCTAATCTGTGCCATTTATTTACTCTTTCTGCTACCATTCGTCGCACCAATATACACGCAATGCGCTCAAAGGATATACTGGAGAATGAGGACGTCAAGCTGGACAATATGTTTATTGCTTCAATGGTCGCCGACATCATACGCGTAAGTTCAATACCGCAATAAGCTTCCTTAAACTCCATGCACACCTGCTGGGTAAAAATCTTTCGTAGCATTTGTCAAACGTTTATACAAAATACTAAACATTTCCTTAATACTTTTCTTACATTTTTCTCCCTTTTGATCACACGACAGGGTGTCATCTACTTACATGAATCGCCCATTCGCTTTCACGGTTCGTTGTGCACCTCCAACTGCCTGGTCGACTCACGCTGGGTGGTTAAACTGACCGATTTCGGGCTGTTCGCATTCAAGAAGGGCATGGAGGACAACTCAACGGAGGTGCCGAACATGACGGTTAAGTGTACAAGTATGTGCCGACATTAAAGCGGTGTTTTATAAGTTTTACTCTAATTGTTTCCATTTTGGCTACTTCACAGAGTTACTCTATCGAGCACCCGAACTGCTGCGTCTCGGGGCGGCATCGCTTGTACAAGGCACACAAAAGGGCGATTCGTATTCCTTCGGTATTGTGCTCTATGAAATTCACGTACGACACGGTCCGTTCGGCGAGACTGGTCTTACACCCATGCAATGTTTGCAGAAAGTACTTCAACCGCAAGATCATCTATATCCCTATCGTCCCTCGCTGCAACCTCTGGAAACCTCTTTCGATTGCGTACGTGAAATTCTGCGTGAATGTTGGTCCGAACGTCCAGAAGAACGTCCTGACTTTAAAACGATACGCGCTAAATTGCGTCCTCTACGTAAAGGTATGAAACCGAATATATTCGACAATATGATGGCTATGATGGAGAAGTATGCCAATAATTTGGAGGCGCTGGTTGATGAGCGCACCGATCAATTGCAAGAGGAAAAGAAGAAGACTGATGCGTTGTTATTGGAGATGTTACCGCGCCCCGTCGCGGAACAGTTAAAAAAAGGCAATAAAGTGGATCCGGAGAGTTATGAGCAAGTGTCAATATATTTCAGTGATATTGTGGGCTTTACGGCGATGTCGGCGGAGAGCACGCCATTGCAGGTGGTAGACTTTCTGAATGATTTATATACCTGCTTTGATTCTATCATCGGACACTATGATGTCTACAAAGTCGAGACGATTGGAGATGCATATATGGTGGTGAGTAAAAGGAGGATAGCGATTCAATGTTTTAAATTAAGGTTAGGCAGATTTCTCTTTTGGGGAATTTACCCAGATTTGCCTTTCTTTAAGGGACTTTAAGTCACAACAGTACCTGAAAATGAGAAATTTTTTTTATTAGTTGATAAGGTCCGCATTTTTTGCGCGACATCGGATATAATGTCAGAATTTGTATTTTAAGATCGGGAGTTCGAACGTTGCCTAACCTCATTGAAATCTTAATGACAGAAGATTTATCTGGGCGTCTGCTCTCATTGAAAAAGTTAATCATATCTGCTTGTATAGCCAATTACAATTGGGATACAATAATTTTTTTGTTCTAATCAATCAATAAACCAAAGAGTATTTTTCATAATTAAGGAAGCTCAACAGATAATAGAAACCCCCAAATTCTATTTAAGAAAATCTTTCTATAGAACAAGAGAACAGTTTGAATAACTTTGGAAATGAGTGAGTGACCGATTCCTTCGCTTTCTCGAAATGGTATTAAACTTCCGTAACATATACAAATGACGGAAAGAGCTGTAAAAATTCCAAGATCTCACTTTGGCCTCTATTGGCCGAAGCTCATTCTGTTTGGGAGAATGGGGAAATATCTGACTATAGCCCATCACAATTACCCACTTAAATCACTGAGATTTCAAGTTTATTTGGATATAATTTATCGTATATATATTTTGACGTTTTAATGACATCGTAAGCCATTTTTCACATTCATTCCTTAGGTCTCAGGTCTACCGATCCGCAACGGCGATCTGCACGCCGCCGAAATCGCTTCGATGTCCCTCCACCTGCTCAGCGCGGTCTCGGAGTTCAAAATCCGTCACCGACCTACCAATAAACTGCTACTACGCATAGGCATACACACGGGACCAGTGTGCGCCGGTGTTGTGGGTTTGAAAATGCCGCGTTACTGCCTCTTTGGCGATACCGTAAACACCGCCTCACGTATGGAATCGAGCGGTGTACCGCTTAAGATACATTGCAGTCAGCAATGTCGTGAGTTGCTCGAGAAATTAGGTGGCTATCACTATCAGGAGCGTGGCGTCATATCGATGAAAGGCAAAGGTGATCAACGTACTTATTGGCTGCTCGGCGAGGACGAAGATGCGCGGAACAAACGCAACTACGAACGTTCACAGCGGCGTGGTTCGCGTGCGCTCAACAAATTCATACAGGGCACCATAAAGCAGAACAACCAGCAGCAGATCACCTCTGCTGTAGTGGATTATGGCATACGTTCGTCACTGAAGAATAAGGGTATTCCGCGCAATTCGTTGACGCGTTCCTCCAGCCTCGAGTCGCCGAAGAAGCTGCGCTTCGCCACCGGCAGTCTGCTCGAGCATCATCGCTATCATAGGTTTGTGGCGTTATATTCTGACTTTGTGTAGCTTTTTTTTAATCAAAAATCTAATTTTTTACAGCGATGAGGCGCTCTTAGAGGTGATCACGGACTCCTACAGTGGTGTGCGTCGGCCTTCGGGCGGATCGACGCATTCACGCTACGAGGAATCGACACTTTCATGCGGCAGCAATGAGGAGCTCACTAGTTGGCAGCGTCAGCGTCGACCCTCCTCATACCCCACAGCTAATACGCCGCTGCTGCTCAATCATGTGGAGACCTGACAGTGTATGCCGGAGAAGTAAGCCAGTGTAGCCACTTCTGCCGAAGTGTGTGAAAAATCAAATACAGGAATCTAGTAGACTATTTTGACAATTACTTAGTGTATTCAAACAAGAAGTTAACAAAACGTAGTTAATTAATTTAATTTTCTCGCATTTCACTGAAGCAAAACTCTTCAAAATGTGTGTTTATAACTAATTAAATTTAATTATTGAATTAAGTAATAAACAATCTGTATGTTTGTATGTATTGTACTTAGAAACTTAGGCTTTATGCTGCATAGTTTCGAAAACGTAACGCTTCTGTCGCGTCAAATGAATTAAAATTAGTTTAGAATTGAGTTTAAAAAAAAATTTTGTTCACTGATAAATATCTATGAGCTATAGTATAATATAATATATAAGTAATCTAAAATCAAAGATGTTTTTAAAATTCATAAAAAACGTTACAATAATATTGCATGTTGGTGATTGCCAAATTCTAGTCGTTCATTAAGTGTAAAAGTTGTATGTAATTAAATTATAGTTAAGCCAATAAAAGTGTAGTAAAAAAGTTGTGAAACAGATTTGTGTATCTATATTATATCAAAATTATCTTAAAATCTCCCAGTGTATGTTATTGTTGTATTCGAAGTAACATTAAAAAAGAAAATTCATTATCATGGAGGGACTGTGGCCTTTACCAGGACCTAAGAAGCATGTTAGTAACATATTCATAAAATTTTATATTTCTGTAATATATATATACAATACATATATGAATATAGTCACTCCAACCTTAACACCAGTTGGAGCGTAGAGACAAATTAAAAGCAATAAAGTATTTCAGTCAGTATGACAGGCTTTCAAATCTACCATACGTCGCCATGAAATTTTCCGTTATTCACAATTCCTGGAAGCTAGTGTCATGTACAGTCATGTACAGTGAATCGTACAGATTCGATGTCATTGTTGCTAGAGATGAATTCGATTTTATCCACGTTCTTTTTAGAACATTCTCACCAGCACACACGCCCTATTTTTTTGATTCCTCTGCAAGTCTGATTTTTTACTGATGTTCTAGAAAATTCTAGGGCACACGTGCTTGCCCTTTAACACTTTGTTCAGTACATCTTCCAAAAGAATAAGAAATAGCAGCGGTGACATAAGGCAGTCGTGTTCTACACCAGTTTACGGATAACTTGGTTCTGATAGCTGTTTGTTGTGTAAGCCAACGTAATATTCTGTAAAGCAATGTAACGAATTCGACCGAACGACTTTTCCCAGTCCTCAGGTCGTAGCAATATGCTCGCTGAAAAAAAATTACCAACAATGAAGAGTTAATAATCGAGACTGAGGTCTATTTTGAAGCAAAAGATAAATTGTACTACAAATGTGGTACTGAATATCGTTTTGCTAAAAAATTTGTTTTCTATTAAAACTATACGAACTTGCAGCCACTCTGTTATAAATGGACGTTACACTTTGATATACTTAACTGCTGCAGTTTTATATATTTATATATTTTATAGAGTCTCCGATGTTTCCTTCTGGGTATTACAAACTTTAAAGCAAGCTGGATATTCTGGAAATGTACTTACGTTTAATAAGTGTTCCTTGTTGTTGTGTGATAGAGTGGGTACACAATGTAGACATTTTTAAAGCGCCAAAAATTAATAAAAGTGTATGACGTCCTGGTTAAATAGAAGTCTTGATATAGCTGATTCGGATAGGAAAGGGTACTCGTGATGAACATCGGAATTTCCATTTCCAACACTTGGCGTCTCTAAGCAATTGCAATAGTTCTAGATTTATATCCCGTTCGCACTCGACTTAATCTAGATGGGTTTTCATAAACAGGGAGAATAATTTTTTTCTTTAACTATCAAACAATCGATTTGGAATGCTAAACCTTCGCGAATATTTCTGAAATAAAAGTTTCTTACAGAATCCCGCTTTCTTGCTTTTGAATTCAAAGAAATAAAAAAATTATAATTTCAATAAAATTAGATTTAAATTAATTACATTTTTAGAAACTCAACTTTATCACTAGCGCCTAAAGTAAAACAATTCAAATGTTAATATTTTCTTTAAATTTATATTTCAGTTTCAAATTTTCCAAGTTGATTTGCAAACAATAGTTACTCCCGTCATTAATGGGTTTTCGAAAACACACGTGTATATATGTGTGAATGTGTACATACTATGGTGTAGGATGTTTCGAAATGTACAGTTGTAATTTCATTTGCAGGCTAAGCGTAAGCTTTCTTTACATTGCATGGCTTAGCTTTTTTACATACAAATATTATATAACATGTTTTTAATTTCTTTTTATTTCATTAGTTAACAGTTTCATATATGCGATTTAAATCTCTTTAACTATGTTAGCGGTTTCTTTAACAGTTATTTAATTTTAAATTTGTTTTTATGTAACTTTTTGTTGCTCAGGTCATCATATCTTTGTCAGCGATATGTCTATGTATATATTTTATTCAATTTTACTTTCTCACACGATTTTATTGCTTGATTTGTATACAAAGAATTTTTTCTAATATACAGTTAGTTAATTAAATTTTTAATTATTAAGTATTAATTATAGTTTTAAAGCTTTAAGGTGCATTAGTTTGATTATACAGTTAGGTTTATAGCGGAAAAAGTGATTCGCTTTTTTATAACGAGCATAAACTTCAACATTTTCACATTTACCATAAAGGCAATAAATTATTTAATATTAAAATAAAATGGAAAAACCAAAAACGAAATTGATCGCTTCGAACAAATTTTGATTTATATCCTTAGCGAAACTTTTATAATGATAAAGTTAACAAAATCTAACGGTAACTAAGCAGGTTAGGTAAAGTTAGGTTAGATGGCTGATAGTAGTTGACCACTGCTTCCCGAGCTGGTCTGAGGCCCAGCAGTTCAGTAGTAAACTACAAGAAGGCAACGGAGCACCTACCTCCTCCCATTTAGCAGTTATTGAGACTGAAATACCTGTCCTAGAAAGCTCATCAGCCTTACAGTTTCCTGCGATACCGTTGTGGCTAGGCACCCAAACGAGTTGAATCATAAAATAGCTCGATGCTAGATATCAGTCTAGGCATCTTTTCCCTAGCCAAGCTCGGCGAACTGGTAATCCAATTTTTTTGGAATGAAATCAAAGTATGCGAGGAATTCAGACTGCTCAGGCTCGCGGTCAAGTAAGTAGGTAAGAATACATTTTTTTCAGACTCTTAGACCTAAAGTAAGATTGTTTCAACTTTTTGAGAAATTAAATCTATGAAATTGAAATTAATTGGAGAATATTTGAACCTGAAAGCTTTGAAGGGATGATTTTAACTTTGAATTTTACGAGGTTTCTATATTGTTCAACCTTTGAACAGAACCTACTCGTACACCTTTTAATTATGATATTAATACAGTATGTTCCATATACATAAGTATAGTCGCAGATAAGGTTTACTGTTTTCTGGGTAATCTGATTCGTATGTTCTTTACCATACCAAAAGCAACAGGGAAGACTGAAGAAGCTTTTCTAAAGTCTCAAGGTCAACATAGATTAAAATGCTCCCAGATTTTTTTAGTGGTATTTTCTGGTTCCTTAAGATTTGACTCCAGTGCCAATGTAAATATATTATGTAATGACTGCTCTTATGTTGTCAAATATACTCAGTAGTAAATTTTCTCCTATGCCTTCGTTAAGTACCATAGGTCTATGTAATCTTACAAATAGGAACTATATTTCTATCATAAGCTGTGCTTAAATTTCAGAATCTATAACTTTATATTGTCACTTTGAAGACTTTAAAAAGAGACCTCGATTCAACTAGCCCATTAACATTTTCATCACCAGAAAGTTTATGTGTTTGGGAACATGAATACTTATGTTATCGAAAATTGTACTTGAGCGGTTTTTAGTTTAACAGGCTCGACGAAAGCTCCATCTAAATTCAAGTGTATAGCTATTTGTAAGTCCTATTCATTATAGCCTATTTTTTCTCTCTATCTCTACTACTACTTTTAAATGTTAAATCAACAACTTTGTCTCTGAAATATTATATTGGAGCATGCAAATTGTCGAAACATGCGTTCAATACTTGTGAGGCGTTGATAACTGAGAGGAGTCGATTGCAAAGGCATTTCAAATGGCAAATACCTTACATTGAGGTCCTAAAAAAGCAGGATTGTTTGAAAAAAACCCGTTGCCTCATCATCAAAATTCTTTATTACTTTTACTTTAGAACAAACTTACTTCTTCGCTAAAAACCATGTTTGGAAATAGGAGAATTATGGGAATGTTGGGAGCTCGAGATTGAGGATCACGCTGAAATCAGTATAAATCCTCAAATATTTTGAAATTATCTGCTGGAGTAACTAACTTTCCTACGAACAAAACATAATTGCAAATACAAAATGTATTCGAATCTTTCTCGCTCCAATATTTTGGATAAAACAGTTAAAGTACCGTTAGGTCAGTAAGGTCTGCATGTATTCAAATGAATATTTTATCTTAAAAGTATTGGGTTTTTAACCTATGATCTGTCAATATTTAGGGGCAAGAGATCGTGAAAAAGTTGTTGTAAATGGAAAGCATAAACTTTAAAAAAATATGCTTAAATAAAAGATTAATGTAATTAAAAAAAGTGATTGTGTTGCCAGCACACATTAACGTTTGAGTAAAGTTTCTTTCTTCACAATTTATATATTTAATACATTTTAATCAAATATATGATTATATTTTGTATATTTAATAGTCACGCAAAATTAGCAACAGTCCCTTTTAATTAACAATTTTATTATAATTTAATTTTTTACCGCTTTATACTTTTTACTTGAAACCAAATGCAAAATTTTTCTCTTTGCTTCAGTTAATCCTTTCTACTTATTTACATAGGGTATATTTATGTATGTGGTTATGTACATACAAATTTTCCACTTTGGTAAAAATGTGCTAATTTTTAATTTTTTTTCGCTTTATTGTGGCTCTCAATATAAAAAACTACGCTGCATATATTTATAAATAATTGCATTCTCTTCCATCTGGCTAAAACATTTTTACATATGATTTATGCATATATGTACTATAAATTACTGAGCACATGCTATATAGTACATGCATATGCATATTTATACAAAAACATACGTTTATTTTTTAAATTTCCCATGTTTAGAGAGAACAATTTCTTACAAAAAGCTTAAATTTTGATATTTAATTGGTCTTACATACATACTAACGTTTTTAATGCAATCGTGGTGATCTTACGAATTTTCACAATTCCGTTTTATATAATTTTTTTTAGTACCATATATTGTACAAGTATGTTAATTTCGCAAAAAATGTTTATCAACGAAGTAGTGCTGAAATTTACTTATTTATATGATACACTGGTGTGCGTTATAATAGAAACATTAATAGCAAAATTGCTCAACTTTTATATCCTTTACGATTAAAAAAATGTTTTTCAACGAAGTGGTCTGCAACTTTTTTGAATATACAGTGATGTGCGTTAAATTAGAAATAGTTAGCGATTTTTTTAGAATACTAACAGTTAATTTTAAGTTGACACGAAAGCCTAACGGTGTCTTTTGTGCAGAAAATTCTATAACTCAAATGTATTTTAACCAAAGTAAATCTATTTTAGTATTTGATATATTTTAAGAGTGACGCCAAGGAATATTAATGGCAAATATTATATATATTTAATATAACTAATTTATTAAAACAACATGAAACAGATCTGTATCTATATTAATGATACCAATGTAGACCAAAAAAATATAAAATAAGTTATAATATCAGTGGAAAGGTGAAATACACTTAATGGTGAATTATGCTGTCAAAACAGTTGAGCGCGAACAGATATTGAGTTAGAAGTACCAAAGCAACTTACTTCGTAAAAAGGGACTCCAAGATAAACTCCATCACCTTTTTTTCTTAAAATAACTGTACTAAAGTATTTCACCACTCTTAAACCAGGTAAATAAAAATTCAATTTCATATATATATGTACCTCTAGGATGCTCTTACAGCTCAAAATCTCTAAAAACAACATATGTCTACTATCTAAAATGCTCTTATAGTATATAGTGTGGTAAATAACGCTCGCCGTATGCACTTTTGGTATACATTATTGGAATTTTGAAATATCTTCTTTAAACATGTTTCATCCCAGCAAGTCTATTTTAACGCGTGACACTGTAGACTTGATACTTTTTGCTTTACAACATTTCCTTACAAATACAAGCTAAAATTGTCGCTTAAGTAAATCTAGACCGAACTGTTAGCGATAAGTGCTGTTTTCTACCATTTTGTTGACAGGAACAGGCATAAGATAAAGCAATGATGGGCTGACTTTGATTGCGTTCAATTGAGGTACTTAATCTCGATTGTAGTTAAAAGTAATACATTCAATTCTCACTGGACTAAAATTGCACCACTTAAATTCATTCGAAATGTCATTATCTCATCTTGATTGAAGCAGTTAAGAGATTAATAAATCAAAAAATTTTATTTACAATATTTAAAAAGTTTATAGGGACTTAAATATTGAAAATTCATTTTTGAAACCTTTTAGAAAATTCAAGATGAAATATTTAAAATTTTTTTCTAAATTCACTCTTCTTTTTACAAGGAAAAATATTTAGAATCGAATACGAAATAGGATGTATTATTTTTCTCGGGAAATTTTTTTTTTTGTTGCAGTGAATTTTCTAACGTAACAAATCACGCTTTTTGAGGGTTTTGAAATTATGGCTGAATAGCCGGAGTTCACATTTATTGATCAGATATTTGTTAATGTTATTGTTGTTTTAAAGTTATAAAATACTCCCCATTAGTTTTGGAGAAAGTTGTGATCACACTGTAGTCAGAAGAAAATCGCGGCTCCGTTCAGCTGTCATGAGAACGACATATATTAGAACACTTCCCCACGGTCGGGTCTAAGTGACCGGAACGGACCCTGATTTTTATCCGGCCAATCACAGTCAACATGGCAACATTTCTCGAAATTACAACAACAACATTTTATCGAAATTTTTAGGTTAAGTCGTACTAGTCGGTTAGTTTGTAAGGCAGGTTTTGCCCTTTCTTGTGCTCAAATACTTTGATTGCCAATTTTTTTTTTTCAATTAATGCATTGCTTTCAATTAACTTTAACAAATACATAGGCGATTTTAATGCACACATACAAGTATATAATACATTTTATAAATCTGTGTGTACAAATTTTTTTTAGCAACTTTGTGCTACAATTATGTTTATATACTTTTAGGTATAAAAACTTTTTAACAATTTTTAACAACTAAGCTAACAACATTTAACGGTTTGTGTAAACATACATACAAATGGAAAATGACAGTATATGATTGCTTGAACCTTTATATATATTTACTTATATGGATCTTTTTTGCTGTTCTTACATAATATATACTAAACCCAGCACATTTAATGGTCTTTCGTTATTACAACAAATGTTGCGCGAAATGTTCATAACGTAATACATACATATATATAACTGTAAAATATTTATTTCGCGTCTGTAATGCACTTCGTTTCGAGCACTATAGTTTTTTTATGCTTTTATTTAGTTTTATTTTTATAAACTTAAGAAACACGTAATTAGACTTATGCTCTTTTAATGTACATACTTGTAACACATTTACTTCAAATTAATTTAGTGTTATGCAAAGTTCGTGGAAATTCATATGTATGTATTTTCGAGTAATTGTTGGACCCTTTGAAATTATTTTAAAATTTTGTAGTGACGGTAGCGGTTTCGGGTATAAGGCAGTCATATTTTAAAGATTGAAGGTAGCCACCTTGGAATGCACACGAAAGCAATAATATTGTTGCCTTTTTGCTCAATATTATCCAACCCCTTTTAGAGTATTATATATAAATATATTATGAGTTATAATTTTTAAACTTTTTACTTTATTTTACTCTGCTTTAAAATAATAAAAAAAATTTTGTTAATTTTTTTTTACGTTTCGAAGAGTATTTTCGGGAAATAAAAAATATTTTGTAAAATAAAAAAATATTGTTTTCTTTAAAGTGACGGTAATTTACTATAGCGGTTTAAATGTATTACCTTCGTAGGTACAGACGGTGAGTTACGGGTCACTAAGAAAGGTGGTAATGAACAACTATTGTTAGAGTTTTCACTAAAATATACATTTTTTACAGTGTATTTGTCTTAATTGCGCTCTTTGGTTTTGTAAATATTTCGAACAGTTTTTTTTTTTCTATTTAATTATATTTTGTTTGGTTTTGGCTTGTATAATATATTTTTTTATTTTATTAGTTTGGTACATTAATTTATGTATATAAATTTTTATTTTTGTTTGGTGTTTAATACATTTTATGCAACTTAATTTAAATGATGTGTTTTGTTGTTTAATTTTTTGTATCATATTTTTATGTATTCCAACAACCAACTAACGAAATAGTATATATAAATTCAATACATTTTTATTTTTTTATATTATACATTGGAAAATATTTCAATAATTTTGTTTATTTTTTCGATATTAAATTTTTATTTAGTTAATTTCAATTATTCTTTAGTTCATTTTTGAAATAAAAAAATGAAAATTCAAAAAAAGTAATGAATAATTAAATAAAGAATAAAAATATGTTGAAACAATTGTTGTATTCAAAACATGAACTTAAATTGTACTGTTTTTCTTTGTTGAGTATCAAAGTTTTTCTTCAGGGTTACGAATTTTTAAATCAAATTTTTATTTAAGCTTGAGAAAATTGCTATTTTTTCAATCAGGTATCAGGCCATACATTTTTGTTTTTTATTTTTCATCCCGGTAATTAAAAATTATTTTTAATTTAGATTTTCTGCATTACAAAATATAAAAATTATTATTAATGCATTATTTGCAAACCGTTTTTTTATGATTATTTTGAAATAAATTTAATTTTCTCATCAAATTATTTAAAATTTTACTTTTCCAGTTTCTTAATAAAAGTTAGTTTGAAAAGTAAAATTTTTAAAAATGTGTAAATATATTTAATTTCATTTTATTAATTTTCATTTTTTTCAACTATTTTATTTGTTATTACTTTACGTTTTGTCTTTTACTTTAGGATAATATGTTGTAATTTCTTAATTATTTTATATTCTTGTTCATTTATTTTAGTTATTTCGCATTTTATTTTTTCTTCGTAACTTTATTTGTTTTTTGTACCACTTGAATTAATGTCGGAGTATAATTCTTATTTTGTATATTATTTATCACATAATTTGGTAACTTCTTAGTAAATTTAATTTTTTTAAACATTTTATTTGACAATTTTATTTTATATTATTTTATATTCAATTACAGTTTAACTACAGTTTATTTTGATAAAATCGAGTTTTTATAAAGTTTATTTAATTATATTGTGTTGTTGTTGTAATATAGTATATTTTGTATTTCACTTTTATATTTCATTTGATTGATTGTGTTACCTAATCCATTTTTTTATATAGTAATATAAAAATAGTTATTTGATCAAATTTCACATTAAAATTAATATTATTATAAATACATTTTTTATATGATTTATTTCTCAAGTTTATTAATTTTTCCAATTAAATTACATATACTTAATTTTTTTTTTTTTTTAATTTTATGGTTTTTTCTTTATTTTATATAATTTTTTTACATTATTTTTAGTTTTTATTTGCCCTCTTTAATTTTTTTTCTAAGCTTGAATTTTTTTATCACATAAAATATTTAAATTTCGTCTTTAATCGGTTTGTATTTAAGCATATTTTAATTTTTCTTTACCGGTACACTAAATGAAATGCATTATACCATACTTTTTTTGTTTTTATAAATTTCACAGTTTTGCAAGCTTTTATTTTAATATATACCATACGACTGTGTGTAGCATATACGTATGTACATCTAAGCAACAATAATTTAATTTGTAGTTTAGTATTGTAAAAAAAACTAATTTTACTAAATTCTTATGTCAATAGTACTATGTAAGTAATTGCTTTGAGTTTTTGAAAATTCTATGCTATATGTAAGCTAAGCGCGGGGAAATTCTCTTGGTTACCCTAGCAATTGTCAATTTCGTGTGTTTTGAATATTTGACAATTTGACAATTTAGAAACAATGATCTTAAACTGTTTACCAAATTTATTGGAACCTATACAAAGAGAGTTAGCTTGTTTTGCGGTTTTAAAGCCGCAATTAGTACGCAACAAATTAACAAAAGTAGCTCTTGAGAACTCGCTTTTGATCGTTTCATTTCTGCTATCGAAAGGTAGAGCATTTTGATTGCTTCAGCTATGATCATTGCGACGGGCCATTATCAGGCTTTGCAGTTGTTTCACCTTTGCTGTTGCTTTTTTACCACAGTAGCAGCCCTAAAAGAGAGTGAAATAACAATAAAAGGTGCACCGGATTTAGTATTATTATTATACCTTCTCATGCCGTGCCTCGGACTCACTGGCGGGGTACGCACCGGCGACGGTGGCGCCGAACTGCCCGAAGAGGTGCGCGAAGACAGCGAGAGTGTCGAATTGCGTGGCGCCGAGCAACCCAAATAAATTGCCGAACCCTTATCCGGGTCGCGCAGATCTACGCGCGAGCCATGGACGGACGATGGCACCGAACCAGGCACTTTGCCTGTGTACGCATGTAAACCCGCCGGACTGCTGTACGGCCGCACCGATAGACCGCTCACAGTGCTGGCGCTGCGTTGCAGTTGCGTTTGTCCATTGCTACCACTCACGCCAACTCCACCATTTTTAGCTGTGGAGCACTTAACCATTTCATCCTGCTGCTGCTGGGCTGCCACTGTAGCAGATGCGGCGGCACGCGCCTTTGCTGAGCCGCTAGTCAGACGACTGCCAGCGCTGTTTACACGCGGATTGCGCATGCGTGCAGCAGGAGGCGACTTATGTAATGCCTCACGTTCACGTTTCGCATCGTTGATGGCGGCCGCGTATTCAGCCGCCTCTTTTGAACTGCTTGCTGTCGCTATGAGCGGCGACAACGCGGCGGTGGTGGGTGTGGTAGTAGTATTCGTGTTTGACGTGGTGGTCGTGTTACTGTTGTTGGTGGTCGTCGTGGTTGTGTTGTTTATTTGCGCTATTGTTGTTGTAGTTGTCGTTTGTGTGGGTGGGTTTAGCGCCTCCTCATCTTCGGGTATTTTTTGTGGGCCTAGCGAACGACGTGTGGCCGACGAATGACTTGGTGAAGTCGGACATGATTGCGCCACATTGGTGGCGATTACGTTTGTGAGGCCAGCTGCGGAAATCGAAGGCAATGCTGAAGCACTCGAAGTGGATGGTTGACCGCGAAGTCGTGAACGCGTCGACGCGGTAGAGGGACGACGACGGAAGAGACCCTTCGAAGGATCCATATTGCAGACACCTGCATTAGAGAAAGGTAAAGGGAAAGAGTATAGAAACAACTTATAAAAGAAGAATAAGCATGCTTAAAATTCAGAAAAATGGGTTTGTTGACTTCGTACCATCGCGTTCTACAAAGCTGGTTAGAGTATAATTTATTTAATTTAAAAATTTTGATTTTTCACATTTTTTCAATTTTTAATTTATATATCAATAGCACTGTTATTTTGTGCGTTTTCAATTGCGCCTAAATTAGTGGTATCGGGTAACGTCTCTTCAACGAATGTCGGTGGAACAATCGGTATTTTATTCTCCTCTATTGGGTGAAAATACAAAACATTTTCCATTAACTGTTGGCCCAGTTGGTTATCTTCAAAGCATATCTCATTTGAATCATCATCATCGCTCTCTTTGCTAACAGTTTCTTCAGGCTCCTTTACAGACGCCTCTTTCAGTTGCAAGTTTTCTGATTGTTTGACCTCATCTTCATCATCATCTTCGTTGCCGCCTTTTTTCAAACCACTGTTATCTACAGCTAGCATTTCCCACTTCTCCGCCGCAAATGATATCATATAGGCTACATTTTTATTTGCAGTTACTTCGCTGCCACTTGCAGCTTCTTGTCCCTCATTTAAATCACTAATTTCCCCACTCAATGGTAATACCATCATCGCACCTGTTGGACATTTTTCACCACGTGAACAATTTCCCTCACAAATATCACGATTCTGCAAGAGCTCCTGATAGTTGTCCAACGCTGCTGAACACTTCGAACGATCCAATTGTTCCAGCGCTGTTGAGGGAAAACGCTCACGCAAACGTCTGCGTTCCTCCATTAACCGATACATTTCGAATTCTTGCAGCTGTGTCTGGAAACCGATATTCGGATTGGCAACGGCGCGTCCAGTGCGCACGACCTTTAACGCTTCCTTCCAGCTCAAATTGGTGGCGGTCATTATGTACGCCACCGCCACAGTAACGGAGCGTGACATGCCGGCCAGGCAATGTATCAGCACATTGCCTTCGCGGAGACGCGCTGCATGTATGAAATCATTGCAAACTGAAAAATACTGCGACAGATTCTGATCCGGTGTGTCAGCGGCCATCACGCACAAATAGTGTTTGTCCTGAAGTAGGAGACGATTAATTACTGAATGTGTAAAATTAACAGTTTTTGATTAACTCACCGGCAGCAAACGCCTTGGACTATCGTGTATGGCTATTATGTGTGTAATTTGATGTTTGTCCAACTGCTGCTGATCCTTCGAGTCGCGATAATTGCCAACATAGAGTCCGGGCAACACCTGAAAACAAAAAAGTCAATTGGTGTAGTGGTAATTTATAGCAGCTAGTTTTTTTTGCAGCGAGTATATTTGCTTGCCAAATTCATATGCCAATCCATGTTGTCTTAAGGCTGCGTCAAGTAATCGAAATTAACATTTTAAATACACTTTATTTCTGAACACTTTCTGAATTGTTTACTAGAAGTTTTGCACTTGCTATTTACTATTTGTTGTTGCTTGTTGCCTTAACAACTGCAGTTGGCTTGCAGAAGAACAGCTGAGTTTTGTTTACATATGCCCTGTGTTGAGCTTAGTTAAGATGTTTTAGTGAAACAAAGTTGCACAAACGTTCTGTGTTGAGTTAGTAAGAACGTACGTTCTTTGCAGTTTTGGTATGCATTTGATAGATGGCGCTAAGTCCACAAGAAAAAAGTAATTGCAGAACAAAACAAACTTGCAATATCCGTCTGCACTTGTCAGCTAAGTTGCAAGCTTGTTTTTAGTACAACAACAAACAAATTGCAACAAATCAGCCAGTCAGTCGAATCATTTGCACAATTGAAGCAATTAAAAGTTTTATTCACAGCACAAACTCACCTTGTTCATACCATTTCCCATGTTGCCTCATTTAATTATTGTCCACCAATCAATCGCGTTGCAATTACAATAGATTTTATTGTGTCCAAAATTTATTGCTCAGTGTAGAAAGTACGCCAAGCTGCAAGAAAGATCAATTTGAGGAAAAATAAATTTATTGTTTTGAAATTTTTTTCGGCTTACAAATTTTGATCAATTAGAAGTAAAATTTGAATAATTAATAATAAAAACAGCAAAAAGTGTTGTGAAAGGATATATAATATTTTGGGAATAGTATATTTCAATTCATAACATTAAATTTTATGTTTGAATATGCATACCAGATAAGTAGTCAACCAAAAATTAGGCTACAATTATTCACCACATTCTCCAGATTGGGCCCTGCGCGACTTCTTTTTATTTCCAAACTTGAAAATAACATTCACTGGTTAGGAATTTTGTTGTTGTTGTAACGGTTACCTAGTCCCCGTTTGGGTGATAAATTCCAGATTCGTTGTCGTCGAAGTCGTCGAACGGGAGGCCCAGGAAACGAGCTGTTTCGACGGGGTCGGACCATAGGGAGAAGGGTGTTAGATGAGTGGGGTTTGTTGGGCATGCAAGGAGGTGGTTAGTGTCATGCGTTTAGTATGTCGGGGTCTATTCTGGATAAGTAGGAGTTTAACCTGCTACAGTATCCGGAACGAAGTTGCGCGAGGGTCACTCTGGTTTCGCAAGGCAACTCGAGCTCTATGTCTGCTATGGGTGGTGGTTTGACTCCTATTACCCCAATCAACGAAAGACCTCTTGATGTTCCTAGGAGGCGGCTCCGCTACAGTCAGGCGACTACAGGGGTGGTTTCTACGAAAACACCCCAGTAGAAACTGCTTGGAGAGGAGTTCGTTGTGTTCCTTAACCGGAAGCATACGGGCCTCACTATGTAGGTGTTCGATTGGAAACATCCAGAGGCATCCCGTGATAGTCCGGAGTGCAGTGTTCTGACAGGTCTGAAGCTTCTTCTTCTGCGTGTCACTGCATCCAGGCGACCATATTGGGGCTGCGTAATTTAGGACCGGTCGGCCGATTACCTTGTATGTTGCCAACAACGTTTCTTTGTCTTTTCCCCAAGAGCTGCCGGCAAGCGACTGGAGGATTTTGTTGCGGCTCTGTACTTTGGCAGTTATCGCGGTCGTGTGAGGAGTAAAAGAGCACAGACTGTCCAAAGTGACGCCTAAAATTTTAGGATTATTTATTGTCGGAATTTTTGTGCCATCGACTGAAATGTTCGGGTCCAGTCTGTACTCCTTCGTCCAATTTGTGAAGATAGTTGCTGTGGATTTAGTGGAAGAGAGTGTTAGGTTCCTTGCAGAGAAGAAGCGAGAAATATCGGAGAGGTAGCTGTTTACTTTTGAACACATGCCATCGATTCCATTTCCCGACGTCAATATCGTACAGTCATCAGCGTACGAGGTCACTGAAATTCCCGCTGGTGGCTGGGGGAGTTTCGAAATATAAAAATTAAACAGTAGTGGGGAGAGGACACCGCCCTGCGGAACCCCCTGTTTAATTTTCCTAAGTTTGGAGTTTTGACCTCGAAACAGTACGGATGAGTGTCGACCGCTCAGGTAGTTCATAGTCCACCGCTTCAGCCCTGGAGGGAGCGTTGATTGTTCTAGGTCCTCAAGTAGCGTTGTGTGATTGACTGTGTCAAAAGCTTTTGACAAGTCCAACGCTACGAGGATCGTCCTCTCGCAGGGTGGCTTCTGGTTCAGGCCATGAACTATCTGGGCATTTATGACGCCAAGTGCTGTGGTGGTACTATGCACTTTACGGAAGCCATGCTAAAGATCTGCTAGGCTCAGGTGGTGAGTGAATGACGGGAGTAACAAGGCCTCAAGTGTCTTCACTACTGCGGAAAGGAGAGTTATCGGGCGATAAGACTCCCCTTTGTTGGCGGGTTTCCCAGGTTTCAGTAATGCGACCACTCTTCCGACTTTCCACACATCGGGTATTTGAAGAGTGGATATCGACAGGTTGAGGACCTTGGTGAGATAATTTACTCCCGTTGGACCTAGGTATTTTAGCATCAGCATGCTTATTCCGTCAGGGCCAATGGATTTAGACGATTTCGCCTTTTTGATGACACTCTGAACCTCCCCATCGGTGAAAGTAAGTGGTGCGTAGTCTTTTGGCATTTTGCGCAGCCGTCGGGTAACACGTCGTTTGACCTTGTCAGTCGAAGGGTGCAGTGTAAATTGTCGGCTGAAATAGCTCGCGCACTTCTTCGGGTCCGAGGAGGCATGACCATCGAATTGAATTTCAACCCGATCATCATGTCTTCTCGGATTTGACAGGACCTTGACAGTAGTCCAAAGCTTACTCACACCGGTGGAGAGGTTGCAGGACTTCAGGTGCTCTATCCAGTTTGTCCGCTTATGATGATTTACCATTTGCCGAATCTCCAAATTGAGATCCCTTATTCGGGGATCACAGGGATCGGCATGGCGTAAGGTGTCGCGCTCGTTTGCTAATACAGCTGCTTCGGCTGGGAAATTAGGGCGGAGTTCCGCGATTCTTCCAGCCGGTATGAAGCGAGCAGTAGCAGCAGCGATCACCTTGCGGAATTGACGCTCGCCAACGATGACGTCCGTAGGAATGGATAATGCGTTGAAGGTGCTCTCAGTAAATTCTGTGAAGCCGACCCAGTTAGCTTTGTTAAAGTTAACATAAGTGCGGTTGTCCACAGAAATAAAGTCAGGAGGTTTCTCCATCGAGATAATTATGGGCAGATGGTCTGATGCGAGAGTTAGCATAGGTCGCCAAGTTATACTATTTATCAGACCACCGCTAGCGATGGTAATATCTGGTGAGCTATTACAGGTGTCCATAATTCTGGTGGGGGCTTCGTCATTCATTGTGCAGAATGTCGAATCGTCTATCTGTTCCGCCAGCTCCATCCCCCTACGATCGTTTGACAGGCAGGAATGCCAAAGATCGTGATGCGCGTTAAAGTCGCCTAGCACCAAACGGTTTTCACCACGAAGTAGCGCATCTATGTTCGGGTGATATCCTGTTGGGCAACATGTAACTGGGGGGATGTATATGTTAAATATTTCGAGCTCGACATCGCCTGACCGGACAGCTATACCCTGACATTCTAGGGTAGTGTCCCTACGGTCGATGTCAACATCGATAAGACGATATTGCACGGTGTTGTGCAATATGAAGGCTAGGCCTCCACCATTATCTCGCTCGCGATCCTTACGTAAGACGTTGAAACCTGCACAACTCAGAAGATCTGAGCGGCTGTTTAGCTTGGTTTCTTGGACCGCAGCTATCGTTACGCGCTCCCGGCTCATGAATGCAACTATCTCCTCGATCTTACTCTGGGAGTCATGCTGTCTGTGTGAGCTCCTTAGGTCCTATCTTGGCCACTCGACTGGAGACAGGTTGCACAGCCGTTGAGGCAGATGTCGCATTATTGCGTTGACAGCATGGGGCCACGTAACTTGTGGTCCACTCCCTGTGTGTCTTAAGGCCTGAACAGGTCTTAAGATGGATCCAACCATTGCATGTATTGCACCTAACCAAGGTGTAGTTTGGATGGAGCCTTTTAGCGCAAACGCAGCAGTAAAATTCCTCGGGGCCCGGGTTGGACTCGATGCCAGCACGGGTCAGGAGAATACGGAGCAACCCTGCTGCTAGGCGTTGCTCCAATGACGACAAACTTAATCTAAAACTCACCGATCCAAACAGGGTTAGATCGCCGAAATAGCAACCGGCTGTTGTGGGAATTGTCGAATGAGGAAGTGAGGACAGGAGGGGTTTTCAGAAGGGTTAAAGCAGCTCGAGCATCGCTGGATTAGGTGTATCGCCCAGACAGCCCATCATCATACCGGCCTCTCTGCATGCTTGACACAGCTGCACCCATGGACAGAAGAAGCAACTACTGGGGTAGGTGGCTTATTACCCAAACAATACGGTTTCGGACCTAGAAGATCAAAATGGGGACAATTGAGAATATCATGAGGAGTGTGAAAGATTCGCACCGAGTATGTAACAAACTTAGATGAATACCTTCAACAGCACTCAATTTAAAATAAGGTTGAGGTATAAGGAGAAGGTATTTAAAATACCACCATATATCAGCCTAAGGGTAAGAAGCAATTTGAAAGACAGTATCTTGCTGTATAAAACTTCTGAGGGACCACGACATTTAAAGCGTCAGAAGCTGTGCAGGGATCAATCTTCAGCTCAGAACTCTGGATCGTCAGTTACGACGACATATTATTATATTATAGTCTCAATTTACCCGACGCTACTAGTTGGCTACGTAGATGACATCGTCGCGATAGTCATTACGAGGGACGCTGAAGATGCGCGCAGGAAGTTAAACCAGGTGATGATCAGAGCTCAATTGTGGCAGGAAAGGGGTCTAAAATCGGAGGACCGACACAGGAGACGCGGAAGCTCCTAATATCGAGCACATTGAATGTCTTGCTTTTTGGGGCAGAGTTATTGACAGACTCATTGAGGAAAAGTAACCGACATAAAGCCCTAGAAAAAGTGTATCGCACAGCTGCTCTAAAAGTAGTATCCGCGTGCCACACAGTTTTAAGCATTTTTCACTTTTCGCTCTTGGAAATTACATCTGCTGGTTCTAAAAGCTTGTTGTCGAAATGCAAGCTTTGAAAAATCTCGCCCTTTAAGGCTATCTTACCCATTCCGTTGTTCGGCGACAAGGAACTCCATGAAGAACCATGCCCATGCAAATATATGCTAATGCTATTCTAATACCGTAATAAAAGTTGTGCGCCATAAAGTATGCAAATTTTTAGTATGTACCTTTGTATTTTAAATTTTCGTCATAAAAAAGCCAAGTTGTGTCTAAATTTGTAGCCTCAAAGTGTCACATATATTTATTAATTCCCTATTTTCAAATTTTTCCTAACGAGTGACGGACACATAAATTTAAAAGCCTACATATTGGCGCCAAGGGCGCGGAAATCAAAGGCTAAATGGTCGAAGAGACACTCAGGTCACACGTGAGGCGAGTGTAAAGCAAAGTACAATTTGCACTGTTGTTTGAGTTTTGTAAATTTCTTTTTTCTTTGTTTTTGGAAAATAAAAAAAACAATGTATTTT